TGGTTTTCCTCACCTGATCTTGACCTCCTTCGACTGCCATTCGTTGTGCCTCTCGAAGCTGATAAGAATGGCGGCTATCTCCTAGAAACAAGGAAAAGAACGTCGTTTAGCAACAAAATTCAGTTACTAGACACCAGAACAGCAAATCCTTCGAAGCTGTGACAAACTAAAATATCTGGAACAGATTACAGCTACGACGATGTTGTTCTTCTCAACTGTGACACCGTGCAGACTATTTGGTAAATATCGACGTTTCGGAGAAACGAACTGGCTCTTTATTCCTAGGTTACCGTGAAATCCAAGTATTCCGGGTAAAAACTCCGTCAGATACAAGCTGTTGCAGGAGACAATTTATAAAATATGTGTACATTGTAATTTCTGCACGTTTCAATAAAAGAATATCTGAGCAAATACTATAGCAATGTTCTGTTGTCTCAATAAAGAGAGAGAAAACTGGCCATTAGATTTAAAAAACATTGCAAAAAAGGGGTTTCTTGACCACAGAGCCCAACAAAGAAAACTATTCTTGGCCCGAAGAATATAAAAATGATGGACAGCCCTGTTCTAAAGTAGCCACTGTTTCAGAATTAATTCTAAATAGCAACAGACCAGTAGCCTCATCCGTAGCCGCTGAGCAAGACAGAAAACATCCTATAAAGCTCAAGTAGACCTTTAAGGTTTTTTTTTTGTTGTTGACTGAACAGTAAGTGCCACCACGCCTAGCGCCCTGTATTTACAGGATTACAGCAAAGCGTCGTCTTTGTTTCGCCTGAAGAGAATAGAAAATTTACATTAAATTCCCATTATATGGTTTTGCATTAGCTCAGAGTATGGCGAGATTTGCTATGAATAGAATATCAGTAGCCCAAAGTATCCCAGGGAACAACAAGACTTCTGTTTGTTGCTTTACGGAACGCCGTTTGTAACACCGGGTAAGGTAATCGAGAACCTAGTTGAGCAGATACCGAAAAAGAACAAGATATAAATTAACAGCATCCATAAATCAGAACTGTACACAACAAGTTAACACCAGATATGTAATTCACGGAACCCGAGGATTTCGACAATCAACCAGCATGATAGTAAAATCCCTTAAGAAACATACATTCGGAAGATGGATGTCTTCTGGGTTATATTGTTCTCAGGTGTCTTAATTCCTAAACATTTTCCAATAACTTATTAAGCACCCCTAACTTACGAGGTGCGATCGAAAGGTTTCCAGACTGCGCGTATAAAAAAACCCGTACACTTATCTCAGGTATTAAATTCATCCAACCCCCTCGAAGTAGTTCCCCTGGGAGTGAACACAACGATCCCAGCGCCGCTGCCAAGCCTGGAAGCATCCCTGGAAATCTTTCTTTGTCAGCCTGTCAAGCACCATCTGCGATTCTGCCTGAATCTCTTCTATCGTCTCAAATCTCCTTCCCTTGAGCTGAATTTTCATCTTTGGGAAGAGGAAACCTTAGAAAGGAAGTTGGGGTCGGTTCTTGCAAGATCTTTCAGCTCCTGACAAACGAGAAGTC